ATTCCGTTGTTGTTGTTGCTGCAGCTGCAGCTGCAGTTGCTTCTGCTACAGCTGGTGGTCGTGCTGCTGCTTCTACTGAAGCTGTTCCTGCTGCACCTATAATTGATTTCATAACAGATTCACGCAATTTCAAAAGACAACATAGTTAGCAGATAAACCAGACTGTTGGTTCTTCTGATAATTCCTTGTCCAGAAGTACTGCATCTGAGGGTTAGCAACAGCTCAAGTTTCAGCTTTTTTTCTTGTTTTTGCTTTCATGTGCCTTATCCATCATGGTGCGTAAGTGTGGCCGAGTGAAACTGAATTTTCCCGTTACTTTCGTTCCTTTTTGGACGTCCGTAACAACGGTCACGTAGTGTTGCATAGTATCTTGAAATGTCAGAAATAGCGAAATCCGAAATGTCGCGAACACAGAGTCTCACAGTGTCTCAGATATCGATCTCACAATGTCAAGGTACATCTTCAGAGGAAGATGAAATCAGATCCCAAAAGGACCCAAAGTAGTCCTCAACCTACAGTCCCAATGTCGCTGTCTCCAATATCATCAGAACTCGTAACCCTCCTTCATAGTCGTAGTACTGCAAGGAACCTGACTGTTCACAGCTTGCTGGAGTGCATCACTTCGCATGCATACATGTCTTCACACAGATAGGATAGCTTCACACAAAGCCAAAGTCGAGATGAGATAGGAACCAGATAGCGCAGCTCATATCATAAAATTCACATTAAGCAAGAGTATCTCGAGTTCAAAAGTTCAGCGCCAACAAAATGCAAGTCTTCTTCCCTCATTCGTCAGCATAGGACCTGGCTCAGCCAGCGTCACCCTTCGGATCACAAGTATGGCGCATACAGGTAAGCATTCACCAAATCCCACTTCGTAACCTGTCTTCTCTCTCTCTCTTTATCTTCTCTCTCAAGATCCCTGTCGTGGTTCCCTTCTCTCACTATGCATGGACACTCCTTGTCTACGAGAATCTACTCTGAATGCCTCTCACTGATATCCTATTCCTAACCCCTCTACTACTACTAACTCAGGCTGGCGCAGCTATGGCTTCCCTGCAGCCAGCGCCCAGCTCATCTCCCTTCTGGCGCAACTTCTTCTGCCAGCGCCCCTCCCTGCACTATAGCGCACAAGTGCCTCAGCACTTCCACGCATCAATGCCATTGGGAATCTGCCTTGTGGGGAGGCTGCCTCGTCCATTATAGTGCTGGCCTCCCCTTGCGAGGTCTGAATTCAGTCTGTCTTGGGTCATTTCCCAGTCCCAGGCCCCTGTGGAATGCGTCCCAGTTCCTTATCCTCAGGGTCCACTGCTGCTGCGGCCTTCAGGCCTCAATTTCGGACTTCCAATCTGTATCTAGACTTTCCCTTTGACTTGAATCTTGACTGGGACTTCACCCTTTTGACTTCCTTTGGACAGACACACCTACTGCTCGAACAGACACACATTCTGCACGAAGAGACACACATACTGCACGAACAGACACACATACTGCATGTACAGACACATACTGCACGTATAGACACATCTCCTGCATGAACAAACATGACTTGCACACCCCCTGGATGAACAGATGTGACTCCTATATCTGAATATTGCAACTGTTCGTCCAGGGGCACAACTGTGACCTTTGACATTGACTTTTACTTAGTTAGGATGTGACTTTTGATCTGCTTTCACGAGTTGGGCTCTGGGCGAGTGACCCCTCTATGCTGCATTCGTCAAACAGGGTCTGAATCGAGTAAAGGCCCTTTTACTCTCGCCGGCCTAGTTTCGAAGTCCTCTGAGAATAACCTTCACCTATCTATAATACTTATTCCTCTTCTAGCTCTTTCATAAGCAGATACAATATGAGGCGCAGACTCAATTAGTTCTTCTCTTGTGAACCAGCGATCTTCACTTGGGTCCTGATATGCGAACTCTTACTTTATATTGTCGTTGGGGTCTGCCTCTACGTCCAGGTCTGCCTCTACGTCCAGTTTGAAGAGTGCTTTCAGCAACAATCTTATTCACGTCATATTTCCCATCCATACTAGGAGGTATCGCCGACCTGCGACTGGGAAATAGCTCATTCGTTACGCAAGGTAAGAGCTTTGAGGCGTGGAATACTGGATACGTTGCAAATGTAGAGGAATCTCAATCACATAGGAAGGTCCATCCACATCTCCAATCACGTCAAGAACTTGCCAAGGTCCTCTGTAGGCGGGTAGTAACTTCTGAAAGATGTTTTCTTCAGGAACAAACTCTTTAGACTTAACCCATACCAAATCACCTACAGCAAATTGAGAAGGTCTTCTGTGTTTATTTGCCTGTTCTATCATCTAATGTTGTGCCTTCACTATATTTTCCTTCACTTTCTCAATATCCTTCTGATACTGTATCGCGAATTCACTTGTTCCTAGTGGAAGCTTATGTACTTGGTCCGGATTCAGGCGATCAATGTGCCTACGTGGTCGCCATCCCAAATGCAGCTCCATCGGAGTCTTGCATGTACATAGGTGAACAAAGTTGTTATAGGCACTAGCGACTTTGGGCAAATGTTTGTCCCAGTCAACCTGGTCGGGACGTATGTACATATGCAACATTTGTTGCAGAATCTTGTTCATTTGCTCAGTCTGGCGGTTTGTCTCAGGGTGCCTACCTAATGACATAGTCAACTTAGAGTCATAGACGTTCATTAGTTGCTGCCATTGTTCACTCGTGAACCGTAAATCTCTGTCACTCACAATCGTTAAGGGATGCCCATAATCTTTCACCCAATGGTTAAAGAATTCCCGAATTACTAATTCCGTTTTTGCTTCCGCTGGCAAGGCTGCGAATACAGCATATTTACTAAATATGTCAACAATGACCATGACTTGCGTTTTTCCATTCCTGGTTTTCACCTTGGTGTCCATAAAGTCAATGGACACAGAGTCTTCTGGACCTGTTGGGATTGGCAAAGGCTTCAGTAGACCAAGGGGAGGTTGAGTGGTGCTCTTATTTCTTTGGCACACTTTACAACCTTGCACATACACAATGCAATCGGGTTTCATACGAGGCCAAGTATAGGAACGCAAAAGATTCGCATAAGTCTTTTTCCACCCAAAATGGCCCTCGGTGTCGTGACACTCCCCCAAGATCAAACTTTTGATCTCTTCCACATTTGGAATACAAAGCCTATCGTGCACATCCGTTTTTTCGAACAACAGTCCCTGTGTTATACGATAGTTAGGAAACTCTTGTGGCGCTTCTTGTACACGTTTAATCATAGCGTCATAGACAGGATCTGTCGAATACGCACTTCTAATTTTCTCTTGCAGATCGGTGCCCACGTCTAGACATGTTACAATGGCACCGAAGAAATCAGATCTTCGACTTAGCGCGTCAGCAACAACGTTATACTTACCCTTGACTGGCTTTAGCTCGAAATCATACTGATCAATCTCAGCGGCCCACCTAGTCAACTTAGGTGTCATCCGGGCCTGCGTTTTAAGCCAGCGAAGTGTCTCATGATCTGAGTACACCTTGAAGTGGCGTCCTAAGAGATAGTGTCGCCAGTGATCTAGAGCTTCTCAAAGAGCATACAACTCTCTCTCGTACGTAGAAGCGGCGACCTTCTCGTTAGGCAGTCGTCGGGACATAAACTCTACAGGCCTGTATCCATTCCCATCTTGTTGGAGTACAGTGCCTATCCCGTACTGACTGGCGTCAGTTGTGACAACAAAGGGCAACGAAGGATCAACAACCTTCAAAACCGGATAGTTAATCACATATTTCTTTAGGCATTTAAATGAAGTTGTGCAATCTGAATCCCACTTCCAAATTGTTTCTTTCTTAAGCAATCTGCGAAGGGGCGCAACAATTATCGTGAAGTGTTTAACGAACTTCCAATAATAGTTGGCTAGCCCAAGGAACGACCGCAACTTAGTCAAAGTGCGGGGTTTAGGCCAATCACGTATTGCCGCAATTTTCGTATCTTCCGGTCTGATTCCATCACCGTCAAGCACATGCCCTAAATACAAAACTTGACGCTTAGCCCAGTCACACTTCTTCGGGTTTAACTTCAATTTTGCTTCACGCAATTTATTTAGCACAAGTCGAAGGTGCTCGCAATGTTCATTCAAATTCTTACTAAAAATCAAAATATCATCGAGATAAACGACAACAAATTTGTCAAGCCATTCAGGAAAAAGCTCATTCATTGTTCTTTGGAAGGTTGCAAGTGCATAGTAAGACCAAAGGGCAACACCACGAACTCATAGTGCCCGTACCTTGTTCGAAAGGCGGTCTTGTATTGGTCCTTTGGCTCTACCTCAATCTGATGGTAGCCAGACTTCAGATCAATCTTAGTGAAGTACTTGCAACCCTGAACTCTATCCAAAAGATCGTCAATCCTCGGTAATGGCTCAGCATTCTTTACAGTGATTTCATTAAGTCTTCTATATTCTAAACACATACGTACCCCGCCATCTTTCTTCGGTACGAATAGCACAGGCGCACCATAGGGCAAGGAGCTAGGTCTTACCCACCCGTTTTCCAGCAATTCATCAAGCTGGGTTCGCAGTTCATCCAACTCTTTTGGTGACATCCTATAGATAAAGCCCCTTAGGAATTTGACGTCCTGGAATGATATCAATGCGATGTTTGATAGGTCTTTCAACTACACCGCTTGGGGCCTCTGCCACATCTTCGGATTCTTTCAAAATCTTTTCAACTTCTGAGGGTTCAACCTCTTCCTTAACTTCACCCTCTTTCACTGGGCGGACATATAAAACAAACACTTGATCATACAGATTGTACTTCTTTACATGACGAGCGAAACGCGGGGGCACTCATACAACAATGAGCCAAGCTGCTTTCTTTCCCTGATTCATGAAACAAGCGAATTTTCTTTTTCCCACCTTGCGGACTTGGAAGCCAACACTCATGGTCCCTTAACTTTATGTCCGCATCTGCAGGTTCCCCCCAATCCATACTAAAAGAATGTCAAAAGGGAGATCATCTTCCACCAAGAGAGTCAGAGAGTGGAGAATGCGTTCCACCTTCCCCTCTGCTTCGAGCCGGAAGTATATCTTAACCCCTTCAACATATCTATCCATTACAGTTATAGTGCTATTAGTTAATTTACTCATTACGGGTTCATCTAACTGTTTAACCTTCAGCCCGAGACGCAACTTCTTCAACCCTTTCTTACTTATATAGCTGCGAGTTGATCCACTATCTATCATACCTCCAACTCTTACTTTGTTCACTTCAAGATCTGCAATTATTAACTGTCCTCTTCGTTTCTTCATCTCAGTCCAGGCTTGGCGACTTCCCTCTTCAATGCTTTTTCATAGAAGAACAAGTACTGCACTTTTTCTGCCTCAGGGGCAACGTCCATTGCAGCTTCCATTCTGCAGCAGATGCCATGATGTAGGACAAGTGAGTCAATAAGTCTCTCAGGAGAGGTCCGTGTTTCCTCACACTTCTGGGACGAACACTCCTCTTCCCTCTCCTCACCCCCTCAAGAGCAACACTAAGAAGCTTCTCTTCTCTCTCTCTCTCTCTCTCTCTCTCTCTCTCTCTCTCTCTCTCTCTCTCTCTCTCTCTCTCTCGTTTGCGATCGTGTAGACGCAGGCATTTAATGAACCCAATGAAAAAAACAGTTTTGAAAGCAACTAGAAGACAAGGTAGAACTCCTAGCCGGAGCGGCAATTCATTTGGACTGGAGAGCAGTCAAAACAAAAAAATAAAGATCAGAGAGATCTGATTCCGCCACAAAGCCTGGTCCGGCCACGTATGAGGTCCTCTCAAGCCTAATCGGACTCAACTCCGTGAGGACACAGCAAATCAAATTCAAAGTGTACTACGTAAATGCAAGAGAGAATTGAGTGGTGTCCAAGGTGCGAGTCAAGCGGCGGATTGTGCGGTAAAGTCTGTTAAAACATCTCAACTGAGATCCCCTCAGCAGCGTGTGTCCTGGTCCGAAAGCATGAACTCCGAGTCCCAAATGGTCCCAGTGGAGTCAAAATTGGGTCCCGACCAGCAAGAGTTCCACAAAGACCTACTCTCTTCCCCTACCGAATTGAAAAACAAAATTTAGCCCAGAAAGAACCTACAGACTACAGCCGTTCAGAATGAAATAAACAGAGCATTGTAGAAAGATATAGCACGACACGCAAGATACTCCATTCATTCACTCGTCAGGTGAGTAAGCAGTTCACACACCTCACACAAGATTAAGACTATGGAGGATGGAAGAAGAACCCAGAATACCCCAACAGGCAGTCAATTCCATTGCCACACACATGGGCACCCTGGCGGCACGACACTTACCTGAGTGGAAGGGTTCTTGAGATGAAAGAAACTCACCCCCCTCTCACATAGTCCTCCTGACCCAATTAGCATCCTCTACACTAGTGTCCTATCATCTGAGAGGGTCACCATCTACCCCGAAGTACAACGTCGGATCCCCCGTCGATGTTGAAGATCAAAGTGTGAGGATTGAGCCCTCAAGAAGGGGCCTTGCCATGATGTACATGTTCTGGGCTAAGGCCCCAGCAAGCCTAGTGCCCGCCCTAAGTGAAGGCGGGCCAGCAAATCAACAAGAGCCCTTTGTGCAAACATTTCCCGGAGTGGGGTCCATACAGGTGCAGCACGCTAGTTGGTTGGAGTGCACCGAGTCTCGAATCTCTGCAAATGTGGAGATCCCAGGGCCTTTGAGTTAGTTAGGCCCTGGGCACTTGAATGTGAGGCCGACAATGCATGCTGGGTATAGTGGCCGAAAATGCCAAAGGGAAATCGGCCCACTATCTGAATCTGGCCGCAGGCCTTGATGAAAGAGGCGCAACTGCATTGCCCCAGGCCTCAACTGTATCGGGCTGGGTTCAGCCACTGGGGCCCGGTCGCAGGCTGAAGGGAGGCCGCCCACACGCAGCACTGACATATAGGCAAGCAAGGCGAGTGGGCAGGGGATCTTGGCCATTGCGGGCAATGCTGGCACGCTGCGCTAATGCGAGCTGCTGCGCTGCGCTAAGACAGGGTGCAAGGCAGGCATGCGCTAGGCGGTAGGGCGCTGCCTGTGCACTAGGCGTTTGGCGGCCATAGCCGGGCTGCAGAGGGCGCAGGGGAGGTGAGGGCGGAGGTGGTTCTTCGGAGGTGAAGGGCGCTGTGTGGGTAACAAGGAAGAGTGTGGGTGAAGAGGACACGTACCTGGTGGAGGTGGAGGTCGGCATTGGTGTTGACATCATCACTCGCTGGTAGTCGAGTTGTCTGGTTGCTTTCATTGCTGTAGTTGTAGGCTTAGTCTGTAGAGTAGATAGGGCGCCTGGCGCCATTCATAAGAGAGAGCTACATTGGGTTATGTTGTTGGTGTTGCCCTGTTGGGCATGGACATTGACTCACGATTCTTCTGTATCATTCTCAATTGGATGGTTACTCGGTTCCATTGTGCTATCTGCTCTGGCTTTGACTACTTGGACTTCAATGTGATTTTGCATTCTAGATTTATGTGCTTCGTCCATATTCATGTTCCTTGCAATTTGGTATCGGAGCCGGTTTGATCGCCACTTACCTCTGGCACGCTGGCGTTATACAGACTTGGTGCGTTGACGATGCTTCTTCGCAGTTGGTACTTGTGACGTCAGGCCATATATAGGCGCACACCCTGGGTAGAGAGGGGTGCGCCGGAAGGCTAAGACGGCAGTGTATGTCGTGGTGACATGCGGAATGTATGATTGGTGATGAGAGCATGCTGATGTGGCATTCGGCTGAGGTGGCACTGCATTACGTTGTGAGTGGTACCGAGGCCAAGACCAGTCATCAAATGCACACTCAGCTCAATTGGTGAGAAATCTGTGGTTGGGGGCAGCTATCTCCAGGTACGTTGTTCCCTTACCTTATCTACTCTCTCAATCTCTTCTTACCGTGAGGAAGTCCGTCCAACTTGAGAGTCCTCTCTTTTGATGAGGTGTCGTGAGCGCGCTACCTTGAGAGACGACAATCTTCCCGAAAGCATCTGGAAGGAGAAAGGGCGGTGCCTCTGAAGGGCCCTGGTCGAAGCACTGGGTCACGGTCACCATGCCAACCCAATGGGAGTAGGTCACGCATGCAATGGCTGCTGTCCATTTTGGCACTTGCTGCGCTAAATAGAAGTCCTGCCGGGTGTGCCAGCCCATGACAGACGCTTACCAGACCGTCTATAAACATTTCTGGTTGGGAGTTCATTGTGAATCTAGCTGTGATCGTCGTTCTGACTGCGACGTTAAAGAATTCCTGAAGAGATGGGGGCGCTCTATAAATTCCTCCTGATCAGCCAGATCACATGGACAGGAAGGCTCATCGCCGTACGAGGGTAAATAAGAGTGGTTGGGCTGGCTTGCTCGGTAACGACTTGGGCACAGGGGTGGGCCGAAATACACACGAAGACACTGCCTGCTCAATAATGCTGTTCGGTATGTTGGATTGAGGGGAGGGTAGGTTCTAATTGGTGCTCAACTGATTACACAACCATACCCACTCATCATACATCTGCAACATGGTCTTTTGTATTTTGATTAGTTGGTGGACAGACTGCTAACACCTCACAGACGGAATTAGATTAGGACTTTTGTATGCTACCATAGCCAGTTTTGTCTAATGCTGTTGTAAGTGAACCAATCAGAGTACATCTAGACTATGTAGACAATCTGGTGTGAATGTTGTAGACATGCCACTTGATCGGCACAGTAGGGGACCTGCCGGACACAACTATTTTTCGAAAATTAGGTGCCGGTCAGACACATGCTGTGGTAGGACTCCACTAGGGGGTTCTAGTGCAGATAATGTTTGCCTAATTCATGAACGGGTCAGACGTCGATGAGGAGAGAGTTGACGATGCTAGACTAACACGTGCAAGGTCACGTAGGATCCCGCACGTGTTCCAGGCCCTACAACCGGAAGACGAAAGACGCATTCGTGCCGAACGCAGAGCCCGTGCTCTCGCAGCATCGAGAAAGGCAGGAAACGTTGCAGCTAGGGAGCAGGCTGCAACAGCAGCCAGGGCAACAACCATGTCTTCTGCAACAGCATCCTCCACTGCATCTTCTGTTGTCTCCTCGTCTTGACCCCAGTTGGGAATGCCAACAGGGTCTGCGGGCACTTCCAGTTCAATAGGATCACGTCAGTCTACAAGTCAAATGGCTGGCTCGCAGTTCAGCCCGTTGACTCCTCGCGAGAGGGAGCTTAGGGAGCTCCAGCAGGTCGAAAGGATCCGTGAAAGATTAGAGAGGGAACTGAAACAAGCAACCGACAGAGAAAGGGAAATCAAAAATAGAACAGCCAGGCTTGATACATTAGAGGCTGACAAAGCTGAGTTAGAGGGTTTGGATGACTCTGGAATGAATGGGCCCATGAAAGTGTTGAGGAACAACATGTTGTCGCTGCATGCGCACGTGGACAGCAGGTTGGACTTTATGCAGAGCACTCTAGACCAGATCCTGGACGCTTTGACAAGGCCAGGATTTAGGCCACCAGCACAATCGCCGTTGCCGTTATCGGCGATGTCAGGCCCCTTTCCAGTTCAAGTTGGTACACAACCTAGCGGTACGTCTGCAGCAGTCGCACAGACTGTTGCATCTTCTTCTTCGGGTCCAGCGGTGGGAGCTACACCACCGCAACAAACTGTTCAGCAATCTGGACAGCCGCAGGGTCAATGGTATCCTAAGACCCCAATGAAACCGCCTCTTGCCTTTTCAGGCGAGAGAAAGGACGAAAAACTCAACACATGGTTGAGGACCGTCCCGGTTTGGGTGAAGGCAAAGACGACCTTGCCTGAGGATGAAGTGGTGACTGTTGCATCTTACCTCGAGGGTAAGGCAGCCAAATGGCTAGATGGTATAGTTGTGAAGGCAGGGTACGGGCGACGCATGGCGGACTGGGCTAACTCATTAACGTTAGACCGGTTCATGGAAATGGTTAAACCAGTTCATGGAAATGGTAGAAGCTCAATGGCATAATCCACAAGAGGCACAAAGAGTCACTGATGCGATTAACAAACTGGACCAACGAAAGTTCAAGTCAGTCAGAGAGCTTACGACTACCGTTGAGAGCCTGATCCTCGTCCCTGGCATCAACTATAATGACCAGTTCCTGTTAACAACCTTTGTTAGATGTCTTCCTGAGAACATCAGGAACTTGCTGGCCAGCGAGGCACGCCTCGAGTACCATTCATTTGAGACATTGTCTAGGAAAGCCTTAGATTTGGAGGCCACACTAGGCAATGCTCAACCCACTCAGAATAACACGAAAAAGAAGAAGAGTCATCGGGAGTGGAAGAAGAAGGGGGCTAAGTTGATGATGGTGGAGTCCGATGGGACTCAAACTGAGATCGACGAGCTCACTGACCTGATGGACTATACAGAGTTTGACGGCGAGGAGGTAGCTGAGGGTAGCACCCTCGTCGCGGTAGTCAAGACTAAGGCAGGTGGCCGAGGGAAGGGCCAACCTAGGAGTCAAGGGAAGGCCGCCTCCAATCAGTCCAAAGTGGCTGAATGGGTGAAGGCAGGTCTTGATCAAGACGTGTGGCGTGACCGCCGAGTACGTGGCGCTTGTATCAACTGCGGGGAATACGGTCACTCGCAGTACAAGTGCCAGAACGCAAAGGTTACACAAAAGATACCTCCAAAGATGGGGGCATCTTATTCCCAGGCTTCTAGCTCGGGAAACGCGTGAGGCCAGTGGAAGTTTTAGCGGCTTCTACTCAAGATGACGTGGGCTTGATACCCTCCCCATTTCATGACAAGGCCAAAGCTAACGACTCCTTAGCCATCCCGCAGACACATCTAGACCAAACTATGCTCTGTACGTTAGATGTGTCTGAGGCCTTAGAAGATTTAGAAGGTGAGTGGTCAAACAAGGACCCTCGCGAGTCTTGGGTGGCACTCAAGAAAGGTCCTAGAGGGGAACATTTTGTGGTGGAAGTGGATGTAGGAGGCCGCAAAAGTGGTGCCTTCATAGACATCGAATCCACGCGGAATTACACAAGTCGCGACTGTTTGGAAAGGCTGCACCTACAGGACCGGGTACGGCACCTTAGTAGACCAGTAGCATCTACTTTGGCCAACAAGGAGCGCATGATAGTAACAGACTACATCAAGGACGTAGTCTGTACCTTCTCCTATGGAGGAGGAGAACTTAATCATAAGATTTCGTTCTTGGTTAGCGACGACTTACCATTTGACATGTTGTTAGGCATGTACTACCTCGAAGTTGCTAAGCCCCAGTTTGACTGGGATAAGAAGGTGCTCAAGCATAAGTTGCCCGATGGCCGAACTGTCAGATTGACTAAGTTCAAAGCTAGTAGTATTATAAATACCTATGGCTGCTTGTGTGCATCAGCGTTCTACAATTACTAGAGGAGGGTATGTACCTTGTGTATATCTCTGAGAAAGGGGAGGCCCTTAAAACACCCGCAGAGATAGAACGCGTCGTTGCTAAGTTCCCTGATCTGTTCGAGGAGCCCAGAGGAATTGTTGAAAGGGAAGTTGTCCACGCTATAGAAATCCTTCCAGGGAGTAAGACCCCAAAGGGAAGGATATATAGGATGGCTCCCGCCGAGTTAGATGAACTTCGGTGACAGCTTAAGGAGCTGACAGAGAAGGGATGGATTCGGCATAGTACTTCCCCTTACGGATCACCCGTTCTATTCGTACCGAAGAAGGGGGGTACTTTGAGGATGTGCATTGACGATAGAGGCCTCAATGCCATCACAGTGAAGAACGCAGAGCCTCTACCTTGCATAGACGACATATTGGATAGGGTGCAGGGATGCAAGTATTATAGTAAGATAGACTTGAAATCCGGATATCATCAGATTGCAATAAGACCTGAGGACCAACACAAGACAGCCTTTCAGATCAAATACGGTCTGTATGAGCTTGTAGTGATGCCCTTTGGTCTTTGCAATGCGCCGGGTACATTCCAGCACGCTATGAATCGGATCTTCCATGACCATTTAGATAAGTTTGTCCTGGTATACCTTGACGACATTCTAATCTTTAGCAAGTCTGCCGAGGAGCATGCAAAGCACGTTGAGACTGTACTCTCACTCCTGCGACAACACAAGTATAAGGTCAACTTAGAGAAGTGTGAGTTCGGTCGCACTAAGATACTATACTTAGGTCATGAAGTATCCGCGGAAGGGATTAGGCCTGAGGATGCGAAGGTGGCTAGTATTCGAGACTGGCCACGACCTTAGACTGTCACTGAGGTCAGATCTTTCTTAGGAATGTGCGGCTACTATAGGAACTTCGTAAAGAACTATTCTACAGTCGCCTCTCCTTTGACTGATCTAACTCGACTTGACACGCCGTGGGACTGGAGTGATGAGTATGAGGGTGCTTTCAAGAGATTGAAGCATGCACTCGTGAATCATGAGGTTCTCATGGTTCCCGATCCTCAGAAGCCATTCATAGTGACCACTGACGTAAGCCAATACGGCATTGGCGCAGTGCTGGCTCAACAGGATGGGAAAAAGTTGAGACATCTCGGTCACTATCGATTGACTTTGGTAAACCAAACGCACGCACTCAGTTGTCTTTGAACAACTTGATGACATATTCAGTTCTTGCGGTCTCTGGCATAGCCACTAGTCTAGCGTACTTGGTGAATCGGTCGATGATGACGAAGATGTGCCTCTTGCCACTCTTACTAGTCACCAGGGTGTCCATGAAATCCATGGAAACACTCTGTCCTGGACCAGCAGGAATAGGCAAAGGCTTCAACAACCCAAGCGGTGCTTGAGTTCGCGGCTTGTCCCGCTGACAGACCTGATAGGTCTCTACGTACTTCTTTGCGTCATCTAACATTCCTGGCCACCAAAATCGCTGTACTAGGTTAGCACTCGTCTTCTTGTAGCCAAAGTGCCCAGTTGCGTCATGACATTCGCCTAAAAACAAACTACGCAATCGCTCACTAGATGAAACTACTAATCTGTTTATTCCGGCCTTATCAAGATAGAGTAACCCGTCCACCATCACAAACTCACTTTCCGTGGCCTTATCTTTAGCCTGAAGTTTGCGCATGATGTCCATCGTGTGACAGGGTCTTCCTGATAAGCTCCCACCAATGATTGAGGTACTTCTTCAGATACGCCAAAGTCAGAAACTAGCGCACCTAGGTAGTCTGCTCTACGTGATAGCGCATCAGCAACCTTGTTATACTCTCCCTTCAGATACTCAAGCTTGAAGTCATATTGGTCTATGACCTCAATCCATCGCTTGAGTGCGTAAGAAAGAGTCGGTTGAGACTTGATCCATTTGAGGGTCTGATGATCAGTCCTCAAGTAGAAGAACCTTCCCAATAGGAAGTGTCTCCAATGGACAAGTGCTTTATATAGAGCATAGAGTTCCCTTTCATAGGTGGACTTCGCTGCCGTCGAGCATATTAGGAAATCTCAAGATGCTATGATTGCATAGACGGCCCTCTAACTTTCAGGTAGGTGATAGAGTCTGGGTCAAATCATCTGAATTGGGTCAAGAGTTGGGCATATCTCGCAAACTGATGCCACAGTGCTTCGGTCCTTGGGAGGTCCTAGACATACTCGGGGATCAAATAGATGAACCTTCCTATGTGATTCACATCCCACCTCACTTACTCACACACCCAGTTTTTCACGCCTCAAAGCTGGCACCTTTCATAGAAACTGCACTTCCCGACGGTCAATGTTGTCCCCAACCATGGATGGTGAAGTTGACATCGACGGAATTATGGAGCATCGAGTGATGCTGGTACCTAAACCGCCCGGCAGAGGCCGCCCTCCTAAGCCAAGAATGCAATACCGTGTCAGATTCAGGCATCACCTGGATCCCAGCCAAGATCGGTGGTTCACCAGAGACGAACTCATGCGAACAGCACCCCAAGTTATTGCAGGCTATGAAAGAGAACTCAAGGGGGAGATGCCTGCAGATTAGAAGACTTCTCAGAGGACTATCGAAGAAAAGGAGGAGGGAATGCGAGGATCTGGGTGCCTAAGGGGCCTCTTGCTGCAGATATGCCCGCCCTAAGTGAAGGCGGGCCTAACAAATCACGAGAGGTCCTAAGCTGTCAATATCGTATTTGGGGTCCAGGCAGTTTCGTCGCGCCAGTTGGTTGAGGGAAACACAGGCCGAGCAGCGAGACATTCCACGGCCTTTCCAAAATGATGCAAGCCCTAGACGAGAATCGCAGGCTCATACACAGACAGTTGGGAGCCCCAACCGAATGAGGCCCAGTAGCTGCAACAGAGGCGCAAAATCCTGGGGCCTACCGGAAGCTTCTAGACCCAGGCCAAGGCCAGCCAGGCTGCGAAGGCAGGCAGGCTCTTTCCATATAGGAAAGAGCTCGCTGCCTGGAGTCTCATTCAGGACTTGCATGTTGGCGGCAGCGCTGCTGGAGCGGACGCTCGTAGGCTGCTGCTGGCGCTGAGAGGCAAGGTGCTAGCGCGTGCGGTCGTGCAAGAAGCAGGACGCTGCTGAGGACAGCGCCATAGCCCAGCCTCCATAGCTGGATAGGCTTGGACTACAGTGAGGCACAGGGGTGGTCTTCGGTTGTACATAGGGAAAACGTGGGAGTAAGTTAAGGGAGAGAGAGAAGGATGATGATGATGATGATGTGAGGGCACATACCAGGTATTGGCGATGGTCTGCATTGGGCGACATCTTCAAGTACTTCGTGGGCTGTTGACGTCAACGGTTGCATTGTCAATTAGTAGGCAGACTATAGTTGTGTAGGAATTAGGGTGGGCGCCGAGTGCCAAGTAGGGAGATAGCGCCTGGACACTCATGTTGGTGGTGGCGAGAGCAAGCTCTCATTGACATCGGTTTTCAGTGTTACGATTCTTCATTGGTGTTATATTGGTGCATTTCTGTTTTTTGGACACTGTGATACTACCTAGCCTTCAATGTGACTGTGCATTCTGGACATTGTCATCTCGCTATTGCTCATTTCCCTTGCAACTGATTAGTATGACCTAATTAATTAATCGATCAATCAATCAATCAATCAATCAATCAATCAGTCGATTAATGAATCGATGGTCCCCGCACACGTGTCAGATCAGGTTGTCCTGATTCACGTGTCGGGGTCCGATACCAGCTGATATATGCCTAGTTGGGCAATGTATGTACAGCCAAGGATCCGCAAGGTGATGAAAAGGATTGAATGGACAATGCAATGTTAGTGGCACATCAACAGGCAATTTACACCCTGATACATACAAAGTGGCACATAGTAGCGCAGCGGAAGACTCAAAGATAAGTCCTGACCTGACCGGGACTGACACGATATCCCATCATACACCACACATGTGAGAGGAAGAGGAGGGACCGCAGACATGGAAGAAAGGTCCCTCCTTTGTACACACACACACATGGGGAGGTACCACAGAGGAGAGATGGGGAAGAGGCAAGACGAAGATGGGGACGAGGGAGAAGACCGAGATCGCAATAGCGGAGTCCAAAAATAGTCTCTTACCGATGGCCAACCAATGTCTGCCTCAACAATGTCGAATCAGATCTTGGGCACTCTGCCCACAGTAACCGCTACCTGTATCCTCTGCCTGTAACCTCTCTCCCTCTCTCGTATTTGATTAAGAAGAAGAAGA